AAGGTACTGGTACAGGCCATGGTCTTTGCAATCACTTGTTATGCATCAGAGAGCTGGATAATGACCAGGGAGGATAGAAGGAGAATTGATGCTTTTTTTAAAAATTTATTTTATTTTATTATTTTTGTGTGAGTGTACCATCAAATCAGATCTGACTGGTACAGGAGGAGATTGTCGAATTGATGCTTTTGAGCTTTGGTGTTGGAGAAGAGTGTTGAAAGTATCATGGACTACTAAGAAAACAAACAGATTCATCCTGGAGAGGGTTAAACCAGCTGCTCCTTGGAGGCAAGGATTCTAAGGCTTCATCTGATATACTTTGGTCATGTTGTAAGGAGAGACCGGTCCTTGGAGAAGGACATCATGCTTGGGAGGGTGGAGGGCAGGTGCAGGAGGGGAAGGCCCTCTGAGAGGTGGATTGATTCAGTGACTGGGGCAATTGGGATGAGTGTGTCGGAGACAATGAGATTGGCACAGGACAGAGCAGAGTTAAGAGCTGTTGTACATAGGGTCACTATGAGTCGCAAGCAACTCGACGGCACATAACAACAACATGATGTTGCCTATCTGTCCACTGGTGAGAATTTTTGTCTTTTTGATGTTGAGATGTAATCCATACTGAAGGTCGTTTTCTTTGATCTTCAAGTCTTTTCCAATTTCTGCAAACAAGGTTGTGTTAGCTGCATAACACAGATTTTTTTTTATGTTATTGTTAAGTGTCATTAAGTTGACTGTACCTCATAGTGACCCTGTGCACAGTAGCTCTGAATCTTGCCTTTTCCTGAGCCAATCTCACTGCCTCTGACATACCTACCTCCATTACCCCAGTTACTGTCAGTCTATCTTATCCAAGGTCTTCCTGTCCTGTCCTATCCAGCCAACCTTCCAACCATGATGTTCTTTTCCAAGACCTGTTCCTTCCTAGCAACATGCCTAAAGTAAGTCAGATGGAGCTTCAAAATCCTTACCTCCAAGGAGCAACTTGGTTTCACCCTCTTTAAGACAGACATGCTTGTTTTCTTGGCAGTCCATGGTATGTCCAATGTTCTTTTCTAGCACCACAACTCAAAGGCATAGATTTTTCTTCTGTCATCCTTAGTCATTGTCCAGCTCTCTGATGTATAGCAAGTAATTGTGAAGACCATGGCTTGGATCAGGCATATCTTAGCTTCTAGACTGACATCATTGCTCTTTAACACGCTGTAGAGGTCCCTGACAGCAGATTTTCCCAAGGCAGTTCATCCTTTGGTTTCCTGACTGCTGGTGCCAGGAGTGTTGATTGTGGAACCAAGCACGTGGAAATTGTTAACAATCTCAATCTCTTCTCTGTCTGTCATGGTGCTGCCAATTGGACCAGTGGTGAGAATCTCTGTGTTCTTGATATTGAGCCTCTATCCATATTGGAGACTATAATCCTTGACCTTCTACAGTAAATGCTTCCGGTTCTCTTCTGTTTCAGCAAAAAAAGATTGTATCATGTACATAACACAGGTTGTTGATAAGTCATTCTTCCTCCAATCCTGATGCCACATTCCTCCTCATAAAGTTCAGTTTCCCAAATGATCTGTTCCATATATAGACTGAGAAGGTGTAAAGACAAGACACATCCTTGATTCACTCTTTTCTTGATTTTGAACCATACATTGTTTCCTGCTCTGTCCTGACAGCTGCTTTCTGGTCTAAGCATAGAGCAGTCAGGTGTTCTGAGATTCCCATTTTTCATTAGCCATAATTTGTTGTGATCCACACAGTCAAATGCCTTTGTATAGTCAATGAAACACAGATAGACACTCTTCTAGTACTCTCTGCTTTTAGACAAGATAATCTGACATTGACTGTGATGTCCCTAGTGTCATGGTTTCTTCTAAATCCAGCTTGCACTTTTGACAGTTCTCTGTCCATGTACTATTCCAGTCATTTTTGGATAATCTCCAGCAGGATTTTTAGTCTTCCTCCAATCTTGATGCCCCATTCTTCTTCATATAGTCTGGCTTCTTGAAATATTTTCTCAGCATACAGATTTAATAGGTGTGAGGAAAGGGTATAACCCTGATACACCCCTTTCCTGATTTTAAACCATTTAGCATTCCTTTGTTCAAACTACCAGATTGAACACCAGCTTTGTGGTCTAGGTCTGGGTTTCCCATGAGCTCAATTAAGTGTTCTGGGATTCCCATTCTTCTCAATGTTAGCCATAATTTATTGCTATTCACACTGTCAAATGACTTTGCATAATCAATAAAAAACAACTAAACGTCTTTTCATTTTCTAGGGCTACAATAACACATTACCACAACTGTGTTGTTGTTGTTGTTGATGATTGCCATCAAGTCGAGCATGACTCATAGCGCCCCATGCACGAAAGGCCAGAAGCCCTTGTGTTCTTACCTAATCCTAGAAGCTAGACGTCTGAAATCAAGATGTCAGCAGAGCTGTGCTCCATGTGAAGACTCTAAGAAAGGTTCTTTCCTTGAATCTTCCTGGCTTCAAGTGGTTCCTGGAAGTTCTTAGTATTTCCGGGTCTGTAGTTACATCACTCCAATCTCAGCGTCCATCTTCACATGGCTCTCTTCTTGCCT